CTTTGCAAAGGTGATCTAATCAACCTCTGGCAGGTTGTTGCTGAGCGCAGCCTTGATCCCTGGGCCATAGCCAGTGAACTGCAGACGAAAAAATGTGTGTGTGTGTGTGTGTGTGTGTGTGTGTGTGTGTGTGTGTGTGTGTGCCAGACTGTTTCGTCGGACTTTCACCGACTCATCAGGAGGTTGAACCCCGACAGTCTGCCCAGGATGCATTCGACTGATGGATAAGGTCTTACCACATCGCCCAGAGTTGCGATACTCCTGAGGAAAGTGGTCGGCTATACTCACACCAACCTTGCAGTCCTAGCAGACTGCTGGTCCAAACCCCTGACAAGAACGGCAGCAAGTCTGAGAAACTATTCTGACACAGTCATAAAACCCACTCTACACGTGTGTGTGTGTGTGTGTGTGTGTGTGTGTGTGTGTGTAGCAGGTGAACCTCGACACCGTGTGTGTGTGTTGTCATGTTCGCTATTAGACAACTCCGCAAATAAAGCATTCTGATAAACTGTTTCGTCGGACTTTCACCGACTGATCAAGAGGTTGAACCTCGACAGTCTTCCCAGGACGCATTTGACTGATGGAGAAGGACTCGCCACGTCACCCAGAGTTAGTGATACTCCAGAGAAAAGTGGTCGACTTTGTTCACACCTACCCTGGTACACTTTGTGTGTGTGTGTGTGTGTGTGTGTGTGTGTGTTTTCTTCTAATTTATATAACGATGATATGTGTGTACTTAATACATCGGATTGTCCGAGTGCAGATCTCTTCGGTCAGTGGTGGAACTGGAGTGGTATTTGGGTGGGACTAGGAAAAGCGGGAAGAAAATCCAATCATGCTGAGCTGGCAGACGCAAATGGTGTGGGCGGCAATGGCGACCGCGCCGTTATCAGCCATCGCCATCTCTATCGCCATTGATTACCTTAATGATCACCAGGCATAATGTCCGCTTTGTACCGCATGATGATGATTACCTGTCATTGCGTCGTCAGCATGACAGTGATGCAATGATATCGCGACATGCAATGGCGATGGTGATGATGGTGATGATGATGACGATGATGGTCGCCCGTTGATCATGATGATCACTCGTTGATGACGATGATGATGTCGATCGGTGGTGATAAGTTTAGGGGCAGAGGAGAAAGCAGCTTCCGACGAGTGTACTACACTTTTTTTCTTCGTCAAAGCTGCTCAGAAGGTGGTTTCTGCTCCTCTGGCTGAGCAAGCACGATCAACTCGTGAGCGGGTGAAGGTGGTTTCGATGGCGATCGCGGCGTAATCAGGCCAATTGGCTGCCGCGATGAGGGTGATGAGGGTGATGATGTTGATGATGAGTGAGAATGATCGTAATGTCGGTGGACGATTTTCTGATCGACTGACCGGCGATTGTGACAGCGAAGGGGATCCGGGCTGTGAGTACG